TTATCGAGACAGCATCCAAATGGAAATTTCAAGTAGGCAGCTATCCGAGTCTCGCGTTAGGAGAGAGGACTAGAGGGAGGCACAAATGTGCTTTGTGGTCGGAAGAAAGTCGTGGATGGATAAAATCGAAGAGGCACAGAAAGTGAGAAAGGACTCCTTCCGCTCAGAGAGAGGGGCGCTGGGGGGGGTGTGTCAGATTCTGAGGCCGCCCCTTCCGCCCGCCCAGGCTGTTCCCCTTGCAGTTCGTCCAGCTCTTCGTCCACGACGAAAGCCGCAGGCAGCTCAAGGTCAAGTTCCGCAGCGGCCGCGCCTTCTACCTGCAGCTGCGGGCGCCGCCGCAGACCCGCGACCGCGAGTTCGGCCAGTGGGTGCGTCTCCTCTACCGCCTGCGCTTCCATTCGGCCCAGGGAGCCGTGCCCTTCACGCAGGAGTACCGGCTGGAGGACGAGGAGGACGAGGAGGATCAAGAGGACGAGGATGGGGATCTGATGGAGCGGGAGGAGGTGGGGAGAGGAGGGGCGGGGCTGCAAGGAGGCAGGAGGTGGGGCGGGGGCGGGGCTCCTGGGCCTGAGGGAGGCGGGGCTGGGGATGAAAAGGTGGAGCCTGGACTCCAGGTTCTGAAGAAGGGGCTAGAGCCTGAATGCCTGAGTATTAGAGTGGAGGTGACGAGGGGCCCGGACTCCTCCGTCCTGAAAGGGGTGAAGTCTGTGCCCAGAGGACCCGACGATCTCAAAGCAGGGGAAGGTCTGCAGGGCCTTGGTGCGCTAGCGAAAGTGGCTGTAGTTCCCTAATTGGGCATCCTACCACAGTGGGATCTGGGGAGGGAATGCCAGGCCCTGAAGGAGTGGGGTCAGCCAGGCCAGATGCCCAGTTCCTTGGAAGGCCTGGGGAGGGGAGAGGCACCAGTCCTTGAAGGCGGGGACCGTGGAACCTATGGGACCTCTTCCTCTTGGGACACTCGGCTCCCCTGCCTTCTCAGGAAGTCCATAGTCCCCATCCATCCACCCACCCACCACCAAACTGCAGATACATCCGCAGTCAAGGCCTCTGAGACAATCTCTTGTCCCCAGCTTCGAGACATGGAAGCCAGACTTGACCCACAGACCTCTGAACTCTGGGGACTCTGATTCCTCCAACATTCTTTGAGGTCACTAAAAGATCAGAGATCAAAGCATAGCCTACCTCAGGGCCGGACAGATGAATTATTAATGTTAATAAAGATCTGCCACTTAAGAACCAACAACCCGGTCATAATCAAATTTCACCATCGTCACCAATGCAATGGGGCTGCCTCGCAGGAGCAGCTCTTCCAGTAAGGCTGCCTCAGGTTGGTCCCCGATTCATCGTGTCTGGCTGCTCCCGCCACCACCGAGACCCAGTGTCGACTCCTGGCTACCTCCCTAGAGTAAGCTTCCTAGGCTGGCCTTTGGGTCATCTTTGCCTGCAGCTGGCCTGCCTCCTCCCAGCTCGTAGTAGCTAGTCTAAAGAGGGCTGCTGTCCACAAAGTCTTGGGTTCATCTTGGGTTGTAGTTTCCATGGCAACATGATAGCTCACTGAAGTAGCCATCCAAGACCGCGGCCCCAGTGTAGTCGGGTTTTATCAGGGCGGCCGTATCGCAGTTGCCACTCCAACTTGGCTGTCCCCATCACCCACCCACCCCAGGTGACTAAGCCCTACAGGACTAGGAAGGCGGTGCCACAGACCCAAGAAGTACAGACACGTGCAAGTCTAAGACAAGACTATTATCTTTGATAACTCCAGAAAGGGAAACGTGTTCAGGGAAGTCCAGGTTAGGACTTAGCAGCCAGTCATCTTGGCCGGTGAGAGAGAGAACTTCACTGTGGCACTGTGGGGAAAAGAGGAAAGGGTGGTAAACATGCCTGTGCCCCTGGTCCCCGCCCCTCTGTTGGCTGGACTCATTTGACCAGCAGGGGGAGCAAGTTTTCCCTTCACCACCCAGCTCTGCACTGGGTCAACCCCACTTAACTGCGCCCTTAATTCCTATAGTTCTAAACCCCAAACCGGGACGTTCTGATTTCTGAGCAGCTGCTGGTGACAAGCAGTCACTGGAATCCTGAAGCAGGGATATTTCTGAGCATATTCAATAGTCGATAAAGGGGACAGCAGAACCTTAGGAATTGGATCAGCCTGGAAGAGCAGTGCTGTAGAATGACAGGAAGTGCAGGAACTGCTTGGAAAGTGGTGTCTCTGGGCCCTTTGCTAAAGGACTGCAGTGACTTCTGTCTGCTGGGCTGTCGTCAGAGCCAGGGGGAGTCACAGCTGGGGAGGGTCCTCTGGAAGCCCATATTAATATCAGCCGCCCCTGAGGGACCCTCCCTACCAAGTCTTGGAGGGTGAATGTTTGATGGACTGAAGCCCAAGGTGGAGGAGGCAAGGAATAGTATGCTGGCTACAGGGAACAGCATGTGCAAGGTCCCAGGGGCCAGAGAAAGCACAGCCAGTTTGTCCAATCGCCAACAGCTCAGTATGGCTGGAAAACGGAGGGAGAGGGCCGGAGGTGGGTGGGTGACAGATGCAGGACCATGACCCCCAGGCTAAGGAGCTCTGGGGTTGCTGGGACCCCAGGGAGGGCTGTGAGTAGGTCAACTCGGGATATGGAGCTCCTACTAGTGCCTTGTGGGGGGTGCACTGGAGAGAGAGACTGGAGGCCAGGAGGCTGGGAGAGAATTCAGGAGGAAGAGGATAAATGAGGTTGGCGCTGTGGGACAGAGAGGCAGGGACAGGAGGGATGGCACTTGGGGACAGGCTGTGGAGGAGGGTGACATTTTCCCAGGTTCCCACAGCCCCCCATCCTCTGCCACCCCCATGCCGGTTTCAATGCTGTGTCCACACATCTCCCCACATAGTCCTAGGCGCACTGAAGCCTTAACGATTTTTGCTAAGCTGTTCTCACCCTCATTCACCTCTTCTTTGTCCTTCAGCTCCTTGGGAAAACCTCGGACTCAGGTTCTCCCCTCCCGCCATCCCTACAAGACCCTGTGCTGCCTTCACTCCCCACACATCCCTGTTGGGGTCTGAATCAGCTTCCCAATCATATTCCTAGTCTGACTAGACTCCATTCTCAGCTCTGCTCAGCCCAGGCCTCTGGGGAGCTTTGTAAAGGTTAGCCAGGCAGAGCACTGGGGGCCACCCCATTCTCACCTCGGACATCCAGCTTGCACTCGGCCAGGGCCTCCCCCAGCTCATTTACTGCCCGACATGAGTAAGTCCCCGAGTCAAAGGGGGACGGGCGGCGGATGTTCAGCGTCAGGACCCCCTGGTGGTTGGTCATCAGGAACTTGGGATCTTCACCAATTTCCATCTTGTTCTTCATCCAGATCACCTTCGGCTGTTGAAAGGAGTGAGAGAGGAAGCCACATTATAGAGGGTTCCCTGGGCAATGGCAAGATGGGCCTTGAGAGACAGATGTGGGTTCTCCTTTTGGCTGTGCCCCCTCCTACTTGTGGCTGGATGATCTTAGGCAAGTCACTTCCCCTCTCTGACCCTCAGTCTCCTCTTCTAAAGAAGAAGCGCTTACTCCCGGTGGTGGCCCACAGGGCCCTTCATGATTTGGTCCCATTACTCCTCTGCCCTCACTTCCCACCCTGTCCCTACCTCTGTTCCAACCACACAGGCTGCCTCACTGTTCCTCAAACAGACCAGACAGGTTCCCACCTCAGGACCTTGGCACTGACTGTTCCCTGTTCCAATACTGCTCTTCCCTCCTCTTTCACCTAATCAGCACCTGCCTGTCTTTCAGGTCTCAGTTCACCTGTCACTTCCCATCCCAGCCGCTAGGCTGGAACAGGAACACCTACATAACTGTCTGCATTTGTCTAACACACTCACCACCCTTTATAATTTTATAGTCATTTGTGTGAGTTTGGATTAATGGCAGTCTCCTCCAACCCACAGAATCTCCTCATCCAATTCACCAGCACACAGAAAGCCTCTGAAAATGTGTGTTGAAAGTATGAATGAATGAATGACATAACTAAGAAAATGGAGCAAATGAAATGAATGGAGTAAACGAACAGATTGGTAGGTGAATAAAGGAGTGGAATGAATGAACAGGTGAAGCTAATGAATAAAGTGGTAGAAAGCGATGGAGGAGGGGAAGTAAAGAACCCCTACAGAGGGGGTACGCCTTTGGGAGCTGAAGCTAAAAACTAGAGTTAGATCAGAGGTCGGCAAGAGGGGCCTGTAGGGGCCAGGTAATCGATATTTTAGGCTTTGCGGGGCCTGTGGGCTCTGGGCCACGGATAGCACACAAAACGGTGTGTATGGCCACATTCCAATAAAATCTTATTTAGAGAAACTGGTGGTGGATGGATTTGGCCCAAGGGCTGTAGTTACCAACCCCTGGTCTAGGTGAGTCCTTGAAGTTCAAGATGTGTCCATATTCCCAGAGAGCAGAATAGAAACCGGATGGGGCAGGAAAGATGCCTGGAAGCCTTGGGGGTTTAGACCCCCTCCCCAACAAAGTTTTGAGGGAAGTTGGAGTGTAATAGTGACTTAGAGAGATGGAAAGTGGGTTAAAAGTGAGCAAATCCCATGAGCAGAAGAAAGAGAACTTGGGGAGGAAGAGCCAGTGTGGCGGGGAGGAGAGGGGGCTTCACCTTGGTGAAGATTTCCCTTCAGGGTTACACACAGACATGCGTGCACACACATGGCACCTTTGGGTGGCCTCTGACAGCGCAGTAGAGAGCGGCTGCGTAGCCAGCCACGACCACCCGGTCGAGTAGAGGGGTCAGGAACTTGGGAGGCGATCTGAAGTCATGCTCCTTGTACTCGGGAGTTTTGAGGGTGATACCTGGGGGAAGGCAGATACACTTGTGACCAATCCTGGCTCTGGACAGCCTCTCCAACTTTGAGTCCGGGGAGAAGGATGGTCAGAGGAATTAAGTTCAAAACCCAGTCGCGAGAGAGGGGACTGGCCCCGTGGTGGTGGGTGGGGGGCATACCTGTCTTGAGGATCTTGGCCGTGTTCTTGGAGACACCAGGTAAGTCACTGAGCCCACAGATGTTCTCAGTGTAAACTCGGAAATAGTACTCGTTGCCCACGATGAGGTCAGACACGGTGCAGGAGGTGTGCCGGCTGTGCTCGTAGACGTTGAACCACTCCTAGTGGGGGGAATGGGGAGGGACCAAAAGAGTCAGGGATACAGAATCAAGAAGGGCCGGGGGGCGGGGGGGGGGGCTTAGGAAAGCACATCCAAGAGGGCGCCTAGCTCACAAAAGCCCCCGTTCCCAGCAGTGCTGGGAAGGTAGGAATCACCCAGGAGTCCGTCAGGGGGTGAACGGAGAAACAAAACATGGCACAGTCCAACCATGGACTGGTACTCAGCCGTGAAAAGGAAGGAAGCACAGATACCTGCTTCAATGTGGGTGACCCTAGAAAACATGTTCCTGAGTGAAAGAAACCAGACACACACACAGTGTGTAATTGTGTCCATATGAAATGTCCAGAATGGGCAAATCCACAGCCAGGAAGCGGATGGATGGTTGCCAGAGGCTGGGTGGGCGGGAATGGGGAGTGACTGCTTCATGGGCATGGGGTCTCCTTTTGAGGTGTTGCAAATATCTTGGAACGAAATAGAGACGGTGGTTGCAGAACACTGGGATAGGGTGGGGGAGGGTATAGCTCAGTGGTAGAATGCATGCTTAGCATGCACGAGGTCCTGGATTCAATCTCCAATGCCTCCATTAAAAGTAAATAAATAGAATAAACTTAATTAACCGCCCCCCCAAACACACACACACACACACACACACACACAAATCACTGGGATGGTACTAAATGCCACCACCTTAAAATGGTTAATACTAAATTTCATTATGTGAGTTGTAC